AGGGTGAGGCTGCGCGCTCGGGGCTGCGCTCACCTGCACCCTGATGCCGTGGTACACGCACAGCCAGAAGAGCAGCAGCGCGCACAGGAACAGCGACTGGAAGAGGTCGTCCAGCATGCCCGGAACCCAGCTGTTCACCAGGAAGGACAGGGGGAAGAAGGGGTCTGCAACGAGCGACAGGGGGTGAGCACATGTCCTCACCACCCCCAGCCCACACCACCCCCAGGCCCAGCTGGGGACCCTTTCTCTCCCTCCCTGACTTGGTCCCGCACCAAGTCCCAGCGGGGACACCCTGCCCTCCTTCTACATAGTTCTCATGGCTCCACACCCGGCCCCAGGGAAGGAATGAATACCTTCCACATGATCAACAACGGCCCAGAGCCTCTCCTGGACCACCCGGGGAGCCCTTTCCTCCCTTCCTGTGATCAGCATGGGCCCACATCCAGCCCAACTGGGGCACCCTTCCTTTCCTCCACTTACTTATCATAGGCTTACACCCACCCCAAGCCCATCGGAGGACCAACATGGGGAGCCTGTTCCATCTCTCCACATCCCCCACATAATTATCACAGGCCCACTCACAGGCCCAGTGACGGAATCTCTTCCCTTCCTCTACACAATAAATATCAGCTCACACCCTGGGCCCATGTGGGGGCCTCTTCCCTTCCATAATTTACTAGAGGTCCACACACAGTCCCAGGGGGGTGTCCTTTCCATCTTTTCATGTGATCAACACAGGCTTCATTCCACCTCCAGCCAGGGTACCCCACTACCTGAGGCTCAGAACTGTCAGCCTCTCCTGGGTCAGGTCAAAGAGAAAGTGGGGAACAAAAAGCTAGTTTTTTAAAAAAAATTGTAGGTATCAGCTCACAGACTGCACCAGAGACCTTACGGGTTACAGAGAGCAGTAACTGAGCTAATAGGTGCAAAGGACCCGTTACATGTCCTAGTCCCAGTGCCAGCCCAGCACGTTCCTGTGCCCTGTGGGTGCCCTGCGGGCTCAGCCGACGGGCCAGCTCAGGAAGCCAGCCCCTTAGAGCAGGGAGAGACCAGGCAGCAGGGCGACCACCTTCAGCAAGACTCACAGCGGCTGTGCCTGTGGCCGGTTTCACTCTGGCCACCACAGCGAGCTCTACTCTTACGAATCCCAGGCACCCACCTCATCCTGGGCAGCTGAGAGCAGAGGCCAGAGAGTGTATGGGGGACCCTCTGGAGGGCAGCTGCTCTCTAGAAGCTCTGGCGCCTCAGCCATCTCTCAGGTTCCTCTCAGCTCTAACCCTCCAAGAGGAGAGCTGGCAAACAGAATGGCACGCACCATCTCTCAGGTTCCTCGAGCTCTAACCTTCCGAGAGGAGAGCTGACAAACAGAACAGGACGTACCGTTGTAAAGCAGCAGCAGAGGCAGCAGGATGGACATCCACTTCTGCTCGATGCCCCAGTCCCGCATGGAAAACTTGCGCAGCGAGTGTGCAAACAGGCACTGCAAAGCAAGGAGCACGTTACTGCCTCACGGCACCTCCCCAGCCATGGGGCTAGGGCTCAGGCGAGACTAGCCATCAGCCAAGCTGACCACCACGGTCCCAATGACCACAGTGAGGACTAAGAGTGGAACAGCAAAGAGGTCCCAGCAGCCCTCAGCAGGCCACCAAGGGAGCCTGGGACTCAGTGACCCTGTAACAACAAGAGCACCCCACCACCACCTGCGTCAGGATACCCAGGGCAGGCCATGGCCGTGGGCCGAGAGGAGAGGACTGGACAGACACACGGGGTCCCCAGAGGAAAGGCCTCAAGAGCACAGCTCACAGAGGGTCCAGAGACATGGTCATGTGTAAAACATGTCCCTGAGAGGCACTGCACCCAAGGGCGACACTGCTCAGCCTATAGTCTCTAGGCCTGGGCTCTGTCCTGTGACCCGAAATAAAGTAGTACATTTCCAGAGAGTCTGGGATACCTGGACTAGGGGAGGAGTTCCTCAGTTCAAGTTAGCTGAGAAGGTTCTAAGTTAGAACACACCAGGGCCTGGACCAGCTCTCTGCGCCCCAGCGTCAGAGTTCAGACAATAGACCCACCAAGAACAGGCAAGGACTTCTGACAGCCAATATAAAGGTCGGCTCTCCAGGCTCACTGACCTGGCGTCCCCAGCTGTGTCTTGAGCACCGTCATCCCTGCAGTCCCATGCCAGTGGGTCCTACCCTCCCACCCACACCAGACCCCAAAGAGCATCACTGTCTGATCTTACACACCCACCACGGCCTGCGTTCCTGGACATGGTCCACTCAGCACCGAGAGCTCATGAGTGGCAGTGGGAGAGGTCACTGCTCCACGCCCCTACATGCCACACCTGTCCACAGCGAGTGGCTGGAGGCAGAGCAGCACCTCAGAGGCAGCAAGACTGGAATCTCTCAACTAGAGCTGGTACCTGGGACTCGGACTTTGAGCCTCCTAAACTCACGAGGGACCGGCAGCAGCAGCTAAGGCCCACAGCAGTGTCAGATGCGAGGCCTCACCGAAGTGCCTTGAGGCCTGAGCCATTGTATCAAGGGTTGGCTGAGGGAGGGAGGTGTTGGCTAGTGTAAGCAGGGAGTGGAAGCTATTGGAGTGGCTAAAGGGGCAGGACAAACACATCCACGTCAAAGGGGGGACCAACACTGAATCAATCGGTTACCTCTGCAGTGGGGAAGTGCCTTTCCTCTACTCCTTTCAGGAAAACGCTTATCTGTCAGATATTGTTCTGAAGCTGAGTATCCAAGTTAATAGGAAGGAAGACCGGCCATCGACTTCCAAAATAACCGGTTTTCAAAACCTCTACATACAATAGAGCAGACTGAGAGCAGACTAGCAGCTACGGCTCCTAACGCTGAGCCCTCACAGTGTGAGACATAAAGGAGGAACAAGCAGCCACGAGTAATTGGAACATGAACTGCGAGAGGGATGAACATAGAAGACTGGACACTGTCCTTGGAGAGGGACAGAGAAGAGGAAGAGCCTGGACATGATGGACTGACACAGAAACTAGGGTACTGAGGGGCAGAGGGACAGGTGTGTCAGAGTCAGTGACATTGGCTCAGGATAGGACAGGCTTCAGAGGTATTGTACTAGGAGACACAGGTGACTCAATGGCACATCGCAACAATAACAAACAAGGTGTAAAGGTGTATCTCCACCTCCCCAGTGATCAATGCTCCTCTTCACCCCTCGGGTCCTGTGGGGATGTCTGCTTTCTAAGGGTAACACGCACACATGGCACAATCTACTAACTGAAGGTGAGGAAGCCTCAAAGCACTCGGTGACAAAGATCCAACACTGCAGCTCCCAGGAGAGGCGAGACTTTAACACCGGGAATCAGAGGTTCTCACGACAGGACCAGTGAGTAACAGCACGATAAAGGAAGACTGAAGCTGCCAAGTTACTCCTTTCACTTGGATCTACAATGAATGCCCACAGAAGCAGGACCTCGTTAGTGTTAAAAAGGAAAATTGTCACTCTGAAGACTGAGGTACCTCTGCCCCTGTTGTTGTTGTTTAATGCCGTCGAGTCGTAGACGACTCATAGCGACCCTATGAACGAACAGCCTGAGCACTGTTCGTACATAGAGTTTCCGGAGGCAAGCCATTTTGGAAGTGGATGCCGCTCCTGCTTCCAGGCTTGATTTAGTCGGGAAGCTCCAGCCAACACTGTCCACCATGGGTGCCCATTACCACGATTGGCACATCACTGTCACAGGCTTCAGCATCACAGCAACCACGAGTTACCTCTGTACAGCAACGCACAGACCAGTGCTATACCACCTAGAAGAATGTTTGACAGGAAAACAATTTGAACCTGGCTGCTCTGCCCCTAGCCATGGTATTTTCAACCACTTCATGGGCTTGTGAAAGCTGGACAATGAATAAGGAAGACCAAAGAAGGACTGATGCATCTGAGTGGTGGTGGTGAAGAATACAACCTAGACCACAAACTGTCAGAAAAATGAACAGCTGGAGTGCTCCTCAGAAGTAAGATGGTAAGACTCTGTCTTCCTACTCTGGATGTGTTATCAGAAGGGACCAGTCCCTACAGAAGGACACCATACTGATAAGATGGTCAGCGAAAACATGGAAGACCCTCACAAGACTGCCTGACGCAATGACTGCAACAACAGGTTCAATGACAACAGTGGCCGGGCCAGTGCTTTGTCCTGCTGCATATCAGGTCACTGTGAGGCAAGACCAACTTAACAGCACTTAAAAAAAACCCCAAAAAACATCTCCACCAAATAAGTTAATGTCTTTGTGAACACAACCTCAGGTCCCACATGAACCAAGTGTCCAGACAAAGACCAAAGGCCAAAAGCTTCTGTATAATTTACCAAACATAAATGTATGTATGTATGTTGCATCTCTAGGCAGAGAGGTGATTCCCACCAGAGCTGCATCCGCCATGTGTGAAATGGTATCACCCGTCACAGCATCGGCGCGTGCTGTCATTGCCGCACGGCACACAGGTCACTGCACAGAGGTGGGTCACGTAGGCTGTGATCCTTCAGCACCACAGTAAACACAGATTGTTGTTGTTGTGTTGTTAAGTGCCGTCGAGTTGCAGGCGAATCATAGCGACCCTATGAAGGAGAGTCCTCGACGCTTGGGTGCCTTTCATCCTCTCTCCAGGTTCATAGGGTTTCTGGAGGCAAGCTATTATGGAAGTGGATGCCACACCTGCTTCCACAAATACAGATTAGGGTCAAATAAAGTCATCCCTTTGATGAGGGGTCTCAAAGAGTTGCACTAAATCTTCCACAGGTTCACAGTGAACCAACCAGCTCTGTGCTGGCTCAAATCCTGACGGCGTGTTGGAAGATGGCACTTACGGTGACAATGAAGGTGAGCACCACGAAGACAAATCGGAACCAGATTTCCAACTGGGAGAAGGCAGGGTCGTAAGTCTTCCACTGACAGGGGAGAGAGGTAAGATTTTAGAACATGCCTGTGCCTCCAAGCAAATGTAGTAGAGTGGTAATAATAGAGTATCTCCAGACATGAGGACATATAGAATTTAAATATTCTTTCTCATACTTTCCTACATGCTCCAGTTACTTTACACCAAGTATCTTTTACCTTGATATTGAAGAAAAGACACCAAAAATCTTAACTATCAAGAGAAAACCATTTCAAATTGTGTGATGTTGAGCACAGCACCTGTCTGTCAGTCTACTGTGCTGTGGTAGCTTGTGGGTGATGCCACTGGTATGTCAAATGTCAGAAAGGTCCCCCATGGTGGACAGGTTTCAGCAGAGCTCCCAGACTAAGACAGACTAGGAAAAAGGACTGGCCATCCACTTACAAAATAGCAGGCCTTCAAAAATTCTATGAACCACCAAAGAATGTAGGCAGCTACAGTATTAGAGGTAGAGATAGGACAGGATCCAGATCTGTTATTGAAGGGGTCACTATGAGGAACATTCAACTCAACCTAACAACAATGATAAATCTTGTGGCTAAATTATTCTATAGTCACACTAAGACCACTTGGATTTTAAAAATCAATTATCAACCTTGTTAGAAAAAGCCATGGTTTCTATTAAAAGTAACATTTTAAGAATGAAAAGTTTAAGTAAAATGTAAAGGTGTGAATCCTAACCAAACCAGTAGGCTGCACGTGGAGCCATCAGGTGGCGTGCCGACTGGCATGTGCCTGGTGACTGCCCAGGTATTGGAAGGAGGCTGCAGCGCTGGCACCAGGGTGGAGGAGGTTCCCTCTCATGTCAGTCACAGCTGGACACTGTCACAGCCAGACACCTGACCGGACCCAGGACTGCAGTGCCCTGGCCGTGACCTTGACACCATGGGGACGGGAGATGGTGTAACCAGGAAGGGAAAGGCCTGGCAGTTTGTTAGAAAGCAAGCAACTCTCAACCACAACCACCTCACCTTGCCTCTCCATTCCCAGGTATTTACCCAAGGGAAACAAAAGCACATATTCTCACACAGACTCGCACGCCACACTCACAGTTCTGTTCACAACTCCTCAAATTGTTGTCCAAGTACGCGTCAGCAGGTACGTGGACAAACTGACCGGGGGGTACCCACCCAGGGGAATGCTACCCAGCAACAAAGAGACATCAAGTCTGAATACACCCCAAATTGTCAATCTATCGCAAAATAATGATGCTGAGTGAAAGAATTCAAACACCACACGGGACAACTATACAAAATTCTAGAAAGTATGAACTACAGTGAGGAAGAGAAGAGCAGTGGTTGCCCAGGGGTGACAAGGGGAGGTGGGAGGTCACAAGGAACCATGTAGGGGTAATGGTCACTATGTTCATCATGACGACGGTGGCCTCTGCCTGGGCAGACTTGTGTGTACACATGTACACACACATATTCAAATGGGTCAAATTTAAATATGTTTCAAAGTGCCTCAGTTACACCGCAATAAAGTTGTTCAATAAAAATTAAGTGTTAACAACTGATGCTGCAGTAAGTGGAGAGCCACAATGTGCATATGAGCTCTCCTGACAGAGAACCGGGCTCAAAGAACCAGGCTCAAATCCCAGCTTCTTCACGTTTTATTTCTCCTCCATTAAATCAGCATGCTATTCCTTAACTTTGTAGAATTCTCATGACATCTCAATGATATGATGTACAGAAAAGTTTAGCATGATCTATTGCAAACTGCGTTAAGTTTAGTCAACAACAACAACAAATCACTGTTAATAAACCCTACACTGTAACACGCCTGCAGTGGCCATTGTTAACAGTATTCAGAGTTCATGAAAGCATCCTTCGCAGAATGCTCAGCAGAGATGAAGAATCACTCGTCAACAGGAACATAACACGCAAACAGGAAAGTGTGGACTATGTGTCTAGATTTAGAAAACTGACAAAACCAGCAAGTGAAAAAAGAAATAGCACCATCAGATTTTTCTTCATGACAAATTCTGCTTCATGAAATATGTTTAAAGTAACAGTGCAGAAGGTACACGGTTACAGCTTGGAAAGGTACAATTCTGCCAGAACCATGAACGTGCTGGATGTAGGTTCTGAGCCGACAGAACTATCTACGTGGTTCCAGCAGACGGATATTAGGGGCTGAGGAGTTGCGCTGGTGCAGAGGTGGCGTCCCCCCAGGCTCAGGGCTTGGGCTTTTTTCTGACAATGATCAATGTTTGGTAGTACAACTGAGATCTCAGCTTTTTAAAGTGTACTCTACCTTTTCCAAATTTGTGCTGAAAGACAGTGTGCAGACAGAAAGGAACGCACACCCCACAAACCTATGCAAATAGCACTGTGGGTGAGCAGCGCCCCCCACCTGCCGTCCTCCCCTCCCCTAGGTGGGCTGGCTTGGAGGAAATGCCTTCCTGAGTGACAGGGCAGCAGAGGGGACAGCACAGATTGCTGGGCCGCTCTCGCACACACTATGTACCAAGTTATAATTGGCTTGTGTCAGTCACCGTGGCGTTTATGAGTGACAACCACACTCTCATGCAGTCAAGAATGTCTGTACAGGCACACACGCCTGTTCACCTGTCTAGAGGGGCTGCTGAGGACCACGCGGCTACAGATGGTCAGGCCCACGTCTTCAGTCAGCACGTGCACACGTTGTTATTAAACCAAGGTGTGCTCTCACCAGCGGTGTACGAAGGCACCCGCATGCTCACCACATGTGGCATTTTCAGTGCTTTTCGTTTCTGTCTTTAAAGGAGCTTTAGTGGCACAGTCAGTAGGAAGGTGCTCTGTTAACCCACAGGCTGTAACTCTCCCCCAGTTCGAATCCACCAGCAGTGCGGTGGGACAAAGATGGGCCACGTCCTATCGCGTGACTCACAGGCCCAGAACCTGAAGGGTCAGCTATGAGTCGGTTCCGGTCTGACGGCAATGACTTGTTTATTTTTTGGAGAGTGAGTGCACAGAAGCCCTGGTGGCACACTGCGTTTCGTGCCACGCTCAAAGTAATGTCACTGGTTACGATCATCTCGAATCACCTCACAACCTTGGAACCCCGATGGAGAGTGACCTTGAGGAGGAACAGACTTGGCGACAGTGGTTTTGTCTCTGAGTGCGGAGAAGCATCACTAGAGGGTTGAAAAGACGTATCTACCCGTAGAGCTGATGCATCTTCATAAAGGTCTAACAGTAGCTTATAATGGAAAACCTGATTCAACCGTCCACAAATCCACACAAAGCCACTGCTTCCAAGTCAAAACTGCCTCATCGCAACCATCCAGTGGGTTTTCAGAAGCCACGGCGTCAAGGGCTTACTGTTCAGGTCTTTCCTACACTGTGACTTTCTCTTCTGATCAGAAAGCTCGTTATGGGACATGGAGGACTACCAAGAGACAAAATACTAGTCCCAGCACCAAAAGATAGCCTTCTAGACAGTTTTCTATAATCTAACTATAACTCGGGTATTTTTTTCTCATTCTTTTTATAAATCGGTCTGTGGTTGGTGCTGTGTCCTCTTTGGCAAGCATCCTGAGGCCTTAATGGAGGGGAAGTGGCTGGAGTTTCTGCAAGGGCAGGGGAATAATCAGGAAACAGTTAACTGTGACGGCTGCACAGCACGATGGTGAGGACCCAGGTCAATGAACTGTGCAAGTGAAAAATGTCACAGTGGCAAATGCTTTGCTGAATATATTTTTCAAAAAGATTTTCATAAGTGGTTGGGGCTGGCTGTGTGATTAGAGGGCAGGCCACCTGGAGGCAGTGCACCTCGTCAGGAGAGGTCCCTGCAGGGTTTGGGGACACTCGAGAGTTGCAAGAGGGTGCTTGTCTTCACAGGACAATGTGCTGGCCACCCCCCACCCCCTCTCAGCAGATACCACTCGCTCGCTCTCACGTTGAGAGCACCACGAAGGGTTTCTGATTTCTATGCTGCTGCTTCCACCTAGTGGTGGTCCTAAGGAATTAGTGGTCTTTGTAGAAATTCTTTAAACTTTACAAGTCTCCAATGTCCAAAGAACATTATTTAGATGCTAATATTTATGTCAAACAGAAACAACAACATAGAGCTACGTTGGTCTAGTGGACAGAAAGTTACGCTAACAAGCCCAAGGTGGGTCATTTTAATCTGCGGTTCTCAGGCTTGGTTCAAATTGTTTTTCTGTCAAACCCTCTTCTAGGTGGTATAGCACTGCTCTGTGAATTGCTGTACAGTGGTTAACTCGTGGTTGCTGTGATGCTAAACATTGTGACAGTGACGTGCCAAATTTGATACTGGTTACCCATGGTGGATAGTGTTTGGTGGAGCTTCTGATTAAAACAAGCTTGGAAGCAAGAGTGGCATGCACTTCTGAAACGGCTTGTCTCCGGAAACTCTATGAACAGTGCTGAGGCCTTTCGTTCATAGGGTCGCTATGAGTCGTCTATGACTCAACGGCACTTAACAACAACAATATTTATGTCAGTAACTCAATAAAAGATGGGCATGAAAACGTGAGCCCTGGAAACCCTGCCAGCAACCGGCATACTCACCGTGAAGTTCATCTCCCTGATGGGCAGCTCCAGGTGTTCAAATCCCACCATCACCGTGTACTGCGTGTAATTCAGGTAACCCAGGTGAGCCACGATGATTTCTGCACATTTCTGCAAACACACAAAGCAAGTCTGTCTTGATTTAAAGAAGAGAGGCTGGTGCTTCCAGCAACTGACCCTCGAAGCAGCGCGTGTCAATACAGATGCTCAGAATGGACCGTCGCCAGGGACCAATCCTTTAAAAAGGCCTAGAAAAAGTCTGCCAGCAGCCAAAACCTTTCTTAGAAAGAGCCGAATGTTATTTCTGAAAACAAACAACAAACGACTTCTAATCCCCAAGAAGCTTTTCCCTTCAGATGATTCAAAACCACCTGTCACTTGGGTCAAGGTATGTACACAAGGACACAGGTCTGTCACTTTGGAATCCACACCACACTGGGGGGACGTTAGCCGAGACACACCAATCACACCCCACATGCTCCCTCCTGGCCCTTCTGCTATCGCTCTAATGACGCAGAGGGGCAAGGACTGTCCTTTCTCCTGTCAGTCGGCCAGTCCCCACGCTGAGGCCTGTGATCACCAGCCACTCTGGAATCTCTGCTAGGAGGTGAGGTGTGTGACACGGCTGGTGTGATTATGCAGGTCTGTCTGTGACACAGCTGGTGTGATCACGCAGATCCCGTGTGACACAGCTGATGTGATCACGCAGGTCTGGTGTGTGACATAGCTGGTGTGATCACGCAGGTCTGCATTGTGACACAGCTGGTGTGATCATGCAAGTCTAGCTGCTTATTTCTCTGCCAGGAGCCCTGTCTCTGGCCCTCTGACAGTTAGGGTGCTGCTACTGATTTCCAGCAGTTCTTCCCAGAGTGACAAGGCAGGAGTCTCTTTCTGGGGTGCAGAGGTGAACAAGGATGCAGCTTAGACTCCCTGAATGGGCACACGGACACAGCAACCGTCCCCAGCACACTGACCCTCTACACTACCAGGGTCACAGCAAAGCGCAGGCACTGCCCAGAGTACAGAGTCCACTGGCCTTCAGGAAGAGCGTCAGCGCGAGCTTAGCTCTGAAGCCGGAGGTGTCAACTCCACAGCTAGGAGGGGAAAGCACCAGATATTGGCTTCCAGGGTCAGACAGTCAAGTATCAAATGTCTGAGATCAGGAAGAAAGCTTAGTATCACAGGATTCACCTGTAAGTGCTAGAGAGGGATGTGGGATGGTCAGTGGGAGGAAGTTAGTCTAAGGAACTGGAGGGAAAGTGCAGAGGGACAAGGGAGCTTCCAGTGTCAGTGCAACAAGAAGGCCACGCATCAAACTGTCTCAAAAACTGCAGCTCTGAAGACAATTTTTTTAATAGAATTTTAAAACCTCACAGAATCCAGACCTTCTAGTCACGGAGACTGGCTCATTCTCCAAAATCATTTCTTGGAAGTCAGAATAAGGCCAGGCGCCAACTGTGTAACAGACCATTGGACACTCTAATTTCAAATTGAAGCTAAAGAAAAACACGTCTCGAAGTAGCAAAGTGTGACCTGAGTTCATCTCACTGGAATGTTAAAAACCATCTCAAGAAAGATTTGATGCCCTGAACACGAACAAGCGAAGACCAGGTGCATTGTGAATGATCTTAAGGACATCAAACATACAGAAAGTAAAATGTCATTAAAAAGAAAGACCAAAATGAAAGTCAGAAGAGACTCTGAAAAGGATGGAATAAGAAAGCTGTGCAGAGTATTTCGAGGGTCTGGTGAAGAAGGCAAAGCATTATTATAATGAAATGTGCAAAGACTAGCAGTTAGAAAACCAAATGGAAGAGCATGCTCAACATTTCTCAAACTCAAAGAACTGAAAAAATTCAAACTTCGAGTTGTCAGGATGAAGAATTCTATGGGCAAAATATTGAATGGATGGAAGGAATACACAGTATCAACACACCAGGAAGAACTGGTCAGCAACAAATTATTGCAGGAAGTAGCATACAAATAAGAAACCATGTTACTAAAGGAAGAAGTGAAAGCTGCACTGTAGGCATTGACAGAAAAATAAAGCTCCAACAGCGGCCCGCGGGGAAAGATGGCGGACAAGGAGAAGAAAGAGGAGGAGAGCATCTTGGACGTGTCCAAGTACATCGACAAGACCATCCAGGTGAAGTTCCAAGGAGGCCGCGAAGCCTGTGGAATCCTGAAAGGCTTCGACCCCCTCCTCAACCTCGTGCTGGACGGCACCATCGAGTACATGAGAGACCCTGATGACCAGTACAAACTGACGGAGGACACGAGGCAGCTGGGCCCAGTGGTGTGCCGGGGCACGTCCGTGGTGCTCATGGACGGCATGGAGGCCATTTCCAACCCCTTCATCCAGCAGCAAGACACCTAGAGGGCACGGCAGGGACACGGCCCCCCATGAAGACCACCGCCCAACCCCATCACCCAGCAGTAGGACGCCTGGCGGGGGGGGTGCCACAGTGGGGACATGCCCCTCCATGGAGGTCATCCCCTACCATCCAACAGCAAGATGTCTGTGGGGCACAGTGGGGACACAACTCCATGCAGGACATCCCCAGCCCCCTCATCCAGCAGCAAGACACTTGGGGGACACAGCAAGAACTAGCCCCCTCCCCTGCTGGCCCATCAGAACCCTTTTTCTTTTCGTATAGGTTTTTGTTTTGTTAATAAAACGGCAAAACAAACAAACAAAAAAAAATAAATAAAGCTCCAGGAAACAATGGAATATCAGCTGGATTGCTTTTAACAACAGATGCAGAATGAACATGGTGACTCACTAGTCTTTGTCAAGAAACTTGGAAGACCACTATCATACCAACCGACTAAAGCAAAATCTTACTGAAGATGATTAAAACAACAGGAGTGGTGCACAGATAGGAAACTTTCAGAAATCCAAGCACGATTCAGAAGAGGCTACAGAACAAGCAATATCATTATTGATGCTGGACAGACCTTGGCTGAAAGTAGAGAATGCCAGAAAACGTTTGTGTTTTACTGACTATGCGAAGGCATTCAGTTGTGTAAATGTTAAGTGCCACTGAGTTGAGTACAATTCACAGTGACCCTTTGTTGTGTGAATAATACCGAGAAAAAAGAATTTCAGAATACAATTTGTATGTCAGGGCTGTCTCCTTTCAACAGACCTATTCAATCTGTGTGTGTCTGTTTCCTGTATTAGGGCAGTGATTTGCATGTTGCTGCTTGTTAGAGCTTAGATAGTATACACGTGCTTGTTTATCATTTCCTTAGGTCCATCAGTTGCTATACTAAACCAGAGCTCCCATGTTAAGACAGCCTACGATAAAGGCCATCCACTTCTGAAACAACAGGCCTTCAAAAACCCTATTAATAATTGAGGAACACTTAGCTGGACCGTGGGACGGAGAGCTCATAAATTGGAAGACACTAAAAAAATGAGGAACTGTGGCAAACATTCATTAACAACTGAAACATGGAATGTGCAAAGGATGAATTTAGGAAAATTGGCAATTGTAAAAAAATGAAATAAAATGCACAAGAATCAACATTCTAGGCATCAGAGAGCTGAGATGGACTGACACTGGCCACTTTGAATCAGATATGACTCATATCATGCCAGGTGTGAAAAAATAAGGAGGCATGGGGTTGTATTCATAGTGAAAAAGACCATTTTACGATCCATCCTGAAGTACAACGCTATGAGTGATAGGGTATCACCTAAATCATGGTAACAGCAGCCAGGAAATCAGGAGACAAATTGCATTGGGGAAGTCAGCTGTGAGAGACCTCCTCTCAAGAGTACTGAAGAGCAACAACGTCAGGCTGGAGACTAAGGTGCACCTGATCCAGGCTATACTCTTCGCAGTTACGTGCTATGCATCAGAATGTTGGACAGTGAATAGGGATGATAGAAAGAGAATTGATGTCTTTGAGCTGTGGTGCTGGAGAAGAGTATTGAATATACCATGGACTGCTAGGAGAACAAATAGGTTTGTCCTGGAGAAGGTGAAGTCAGAATGCTTCTTGGAGTCAAGGATTCTGAAGCTTCGTCTGACATACTTTGGGCATGCTGCAAGGAGGGACTGGACCTTGGAGAGGGATATCATGTTTGGGAGAGTGGAGGGATGGTGCAGGAGAGGAAGACCCTCGGAGAGATGGATCGATTCTGTGAGTGGAGTGGTGGGAACGAATGTGTTCGAGACGGCGAGGTTGGCACAGGATAGAACGGCATTTAGGGCTCTTGTACATAGGGTCGCTATGAGTCGCAAGTGACTTGATGGCACGTAACAGCAGCAACAACATACAAAAAAAAAATATTAATGCAAATATTAATCAAATGTATGCACCAACAACTAAAGCCAAAGATAAGAAACTGGAGATTTTTATCAACTTTTGCAATTTGAAATTAAACATACAATAAGAATTCATTTCTAATAATTGGTGACTAGAACACAGAAGTTGGGAACAAGGAAGAAGGACTGTTGGTTGGAAACAATGGAGTTGGTGACAGAAATGTGTTGGAGACCAAATGACTGAATTTTGCACAATCAATGATTTATTAATTGCAAGTATCTTTTTAAAAAGCACATACGGTGGACCACACACATTAAGACCTCCCCTGATGGGTGGTAGAGGAATCAGACTGACTATATCTGGGGGAAGAATTGTTGGAGAAACTCAGTACCAGTAGTCAAAACGAGACCAGGTGTTAACTGTGGAACAAACCACCAGCTCCTCAAGCAAGTTCAAACTGGGGCTGAAGAAAATAAAACACACACACAAGAACTAAAGGACGACCATAAGTCAATTTCACCTGAATTTAAAAATCATCTTTAGATTTGAGGCACTGAACACTAATCATCGAAGATCTGATAAGGTGTGGGATGACTTTAAGGGTATTAGCCAAGAAGGAAAAGGGTTATTATTATTATTATTATTAATAACAAAAGGGTCATTCAAATACAGAGGAGAAAGAAAAACCCGAAATGGATGTCAGAAGACACTCTGAAATGTGCACTAGAACACTGAAAGGCCAAAACAAAGGGACAAAATGATGCTGTAAAAGAACCAGACAGGTGCATGAAGGGTCTGAGGCTGCCGGACGCCTGACAGTCACCAGGAAGTTCAATCCTTTTGTCACCTCGGACCAAAGCAAGAACCACAAACGTCACTTCAGTGCCCCCTCACACGTGTGCAGGAAGATCGTGTCCTCCCCGCTGTCCAAGGAGCAGCAGCAGAAGTACAACGTGCGCTCCGTGCCCATTCGCAAGGACAAGGTCCAGGTGGTGCGAGGACATTACAAAGGTCAGCAGACTGGCAAGGCAGTCCAGGTGTACACAGAGAAGCGTGTCGCCTACATCAGAAGAGTGTGGTGTGAGAAGGCTAACGGTACATCCGTGCATGTGGGCACTCACCCAACAAGGTGGCCCTCTCCAGGCCGACACACTGGATAAAGATCACACAAAAATTCTTCAGCATGAAGCCAAATCTCAGCAAGATGGAAAAGAGAAAGGCAAATACAAGGAAGAACTGATTGAAAACATGCAGGAACGGATGCAAGCTGTTGAACAGCCACTGTTTAACTAGATTTCTGAGTATGCGTCCTTGTCAATATTCCAAAATTTCCCTCTCGTTCAGAAGTGGCTCTATAAATCTGCCTTTGCAATTGTGACTCATAATTTTAAAATTTTAAGAATTAAAAACTGGAAATGTTTTCCAGTTGCAAAAAAAAAAAAAGACCTGAACAGATGTTTTCAAAGGGCAGCTCAAGAAAACAAAGTATTATAATGAAATGTGTAAAGAGATGGAATTAGAAACTCAAAAGGGAAGAACTCACTCAGCATTTCTCAAACCAAGAGAACTGAAGATCAAATACAAGCCTCAAGTTGCAATAGTGAAAGATGTTAAGGACAAAATCTTGAATGTTTCAGGAAGCATCAAAAGAAGATGAAAAGAATACAGAGCATCCAAAAAATTGGCTGGTGCAGAATCATTTCAGCAGCAGATGATTAAGAAACAATGGTAATGAAGGAAGAAGTTCAAACCGTACCGAAGGCACTGACAGAATAAGGTCCCAGAATTTATGGAATAACAACTGACATATTCCAACAGATGCAGCCCTGAATATGCTCACCAGGCTGTGCCAAGAAAAATGGAATACAACTAATGGAAGAGATTAATATTTACTTCCATTCCCAAAAAGGCAACTGAAAATCAACATCAAAAAAGCAAAGATTCACACCACTGGGCCAACTGGCAGCATCGTGATAGACGGAAAAGAGACTGAGATTGTAACAATTTCAGCTTGCTTGGTTCTACAATCAACACTCTTGACACCAATAGTCAGGAAATCAAAAGATTAATTGCATTTGGAAAATCTGCTGTCAGGGACCTCTCCAGATGGGTGAAGAGTAAGGATGTCAGTCTAGAGACCAAGGTTTACCTGATCCAGGTCATGGTCTTCACAATTACTTGGTATGCGTCAGAGAGCTGGACAGTGACCAAAGATGACAGAAGAATTAATCAATGCTTTTGAGTTGTGCTGGAGAAGAATACAGAACACACCATAGATTGCCAAGAGAATTAACAGGTCTGTCTTGGAGAAGGTGAAACCAAGGTACTACTTAGAGGTTTCTGATACTCCATCTCACAGACTTTGGGCACATAACCAGGAGGGACTGGTCTTTGGAGGACATTATGCTTGGAGGGGGTCAACGGACAGTGCAGGAGAGGAAGACCCTGATGAGATGGATTGACACAATAACTGGGCTGATGGGGTCAGTGTGTCAAGAGATGGAGAGACAGACTCAGGATAAAGCAAGGCTCAGAGATCCTGTATCGGGTCGCTATGAGTCACAGTCAACTCAGCAGCACGTAACAACAATCATTATTACCACATGCAAGCAAAATCTTGCTGAAGATTATTTAAAAATGGCTAGAATTGACAAAACTGCCAGAAATTCAAGCTGGATTTAGAAGAGGCTATGGCACGAGCAATATCACTGATGTCTGATGGATCTTGGCTGATGGTAGACAATACCAGAAAAATGTCTATTTGTGTTTTATTGACTATGCAAAGGCCTCTGTGTGCATTGGAATCCCAGAACACTTAATTGTCCTTATGTGAAACCTAGACCTAGACTAAGAGGCTGTTATCCTAAGCAAGGGAACATTGCATAGTTTAAAATCCAGAAAGGTCTGAGTTAGGGCTGTATCTTTTCCCCATATCTACTCAATCTGTAGACTGAACAGATCATTTGAGAATTGAGACGTTATAAAGAATGTGGTATCAGGACAGGAGGAAGACTCATCAACAACCTGCATTACACAGACATAACCTTTGCTTGCTGAGTAACAACCTTTGCTTGCTGAGCAAGCAAGACTTGTCCAGGCGATGATGTCCTGCCCCAGTCCCTCGGGCCAGGCCACACTGGAGAACCCGCTGGCTTCAGCACCTCCCGTGGACATGACTGCTGGGAGACAACTTTGGCACTGTCACCTCTGCAGGCTCAGAACTGACTCCTTCATTGTCCACCGTTCAACAGTGACAGGGAGGGATAGCAGAGGGCCGATCAACACACATGAACCCTCTCCATCGGAGCCCTTCCTTGCAGGAAGAACAAGGCCGAGGCCTCCCCTTTAAGAGCAGACAGTGAAGCCCTCAGCTCCAGAGTGAGGGTGTCCAGCTGAACCCTGACCCCTTCACGTGCTTCTGTGGGCAACTAGATTGACTCCTCTCAGCCTCAGTTTCTCCTAGCATAAATGAAACTCTCATCATTACGTCCACTCAAATGGGACTTTTCTAACCTGGCCCTTTTCCTAATGCTCCCTGGGTCTCATGAGGCCCGTCTCCTTTGAATGCTGACCACTGAGCAGCGGCCCCCTCCACATCCCAGGTGCCTGTAGGTAGCCACCTGAGGACATGCTGGGCAGGACATTCAACACAGAGCAGACGGGATGTCTATCACCTCTGCTTAGCGTGCTTCTGTGTGTGTGTGCACGTGTGTCGCTGTGACTCTCCGCACACCTCTGAGGAGAAGCGTGTATGAACTCACAGGTCTGCCAGGCCCTCGGTGGGAAGCCTCTCTTCTGAGGAGCCTCCTCCCGTGCTCTGCCTGTAACATCAGACACAGCTCCGTGACAGTGCAGCACGTGACAGTGGCCCCAGGCAGCATCACGGCACACTGGCGACCACTTACCCCTGCACACGTGAGGGTCCTGGTCCGGTTGTGCACTTTGTTGTGAATAAACATTATGTTTCCACCTTGAGCTACGCCATCGACTTTAACAGTCATAGAAAAGCTTGTCTGAACCGAAGTTTCTACAAAAGAAAAAGGAGAAACAAAAAATGTCAAGAACCACGTGGGACACTGTCCTCACACCTGCACAGGTGTGCCACCAGCTCACTGTCAAGGACCACGTGGGACACTGTCCTCACACCTGCACAGGTGTGCCACCAGCTCACTGTCAGGGACCACGTGGGACACCGTCCTCACACCTGCACAGGTGTGCCACCAGCTCACTGTCAAGGACCACGTGGGACACTGTCCTCACACCTGCACAGGTGTGCTGCCTGGCTCTGGAATGGCCTAGGAATCAGCCACAGGAGTGCTTGTGGGGACAATGTCAGCAGGCCAAGCCTGGGTCGACAGGAACATCCCATCTGCCAAGCAGGGCACACCCTTTCCTGCCAGGCCACTTCCTGCCCACTGCCCCACTGACCTGTGTACACCTCTGTTGCAGACAGATCCTTCAGGTCCCCTTTGTAGAGCACTAGCAGTTCATAACTAAATGAATTTTTAGTTCTTGGTATAGGTATAGGCTTTGATTGTTGTTGTGTACAGTAGAGTCAGAACTGACCCACAGCTAACCCTCCAGCGGGTTTTTAGAGGCAGTTAATCACACACGAGGAGACTGCCCGTCCTTCTCCCACAGAGCTGCTGGTGGCCTCGAACCACGTGCCTTCAGGACTGCAGCGCAGTTTCTTGCTACTAGGCCACCAGAGCTCCACGAAAAATGAGTTCTTGAAATGTACATGTTTTTAACATAATTTTCTGGATCATCTTTCTAAATTCTTTCTCAATCTGAAGGGCTCATCCAGCCACCGAACACAGAACCATCTGGGCGTCAATCTTTCTTAGTCTCCTGGGACAGCGCCTAACTAGTCCAGTTCTCGATGAACAGGGTCATCAAACAGTGGTGCGCTGGGGCAGAGTCCCCAGCCAGAACTCACCGCTTGGACCAGAGTCCTCTGCTGTGAGCGCCCCTCCTGGGTCCTGTAGGGAGTTAGCAGCAGCCCTGGTCTCTCCCCAAACCTAAGGCAGATCCCTCAGCCCCCAGCCCCACTCCCACTAAAAAAGGCTGGCCATAGCAGATGGTCCCCGAGCAGAGCTGATGTGCATCCCACTGTGGGGTTTGTCCCGTCTTTTTTGCTATGGTAAATCAACGTGGAGCAAATAATTTGCCATTTCTACAATCGTCACACATACGCTCCACGGTCATCATTACGCTCTCCATCCTCAGGCACCTAGAACCCTACCCTCTCCCAAATCACTCCACCCCCTCACAAGGCCACGGTCCCCTAAGTACTGCCTCCTGGAGGAAGTGTAAGGGGTTCCCAGTTTGCTGTTAGGACACATAACAAGCAACATTTTCTGCATCATTTCATCCCGGTACTCTTAACTTCTAAATTCAACCTCTATGCTCAGTACAAACATAAACCATCCCCAAACGTCAGGCCTCACACCTTTCGACTGATCCAGCTCCACGACGCACGTCAGCCACAGCTGCTGGTTGTATGTAGACAGTGGGTTGGAAAGTATTTGAATTGGCTTCAGCTGAGGCAGAAAGAAAAAGACACAGCACTTCAGTTATCCTGTGACGTTTATTTACAGTGGCCATCACACGCCCGTCCCCTCACCACCACAAGAGCACACGAGGGGAACGCTCTGTGCCTGGTCTCCGACCACAGATGTCACTTTGCTCTGACGTCTGTGGGGAGAGACAGCCACCTGCTGACATTCACCCGTCTCTCGTCACAACCTGCAGGAAGGGCAATGCCCCCCACCTGGAGGTGTGAGGCAACACCTCAAAAAAGATGGCCTTGGACCAAGAGAAAAGCTGCAGGAAGAGGGGCGTCTAAGAGAGGACCCCAGAAGCGCCTCCACATTCACAGGCCAACAGGGCTCAGGGCCGCCTCAAGTCCCACGCGCATCTCACTCTTTATGGTCTGGTGTTGAGGAAAAGAGTGGATCACGTGCCACAGACGTCTGTCGGCATGTTGTGAAAAGCACGATGCCTGCACCGCACAGTGGGGGGACTCGCGAGGAAGATGTGGAAGGGCCGCTGAAAACAAAGAAATGCCACCTGAAGCCAGGCTTGCGTCTGAGTGTCAGTGAGACATCTACTGGCCAGAGACACGTCTGAAAGCCAGCAAGGTAGTAAATCCAGCGGCCAGCTGGCCTTCCTGGATAGGAGGGCTCAGAACCAGCTACTGTGTGGGATGGTCTCTGTCCTCCATGTCAAAGCAACACTCACGTCCGAGACACAGATGGCAAAAAGCCAAACCACCCCCTCTTCAAATCAGAGTTGGCTCCAGAAACCGAGAAAGAAGTGCCATGAAATATGACAGCAGACAAAGCAAAGGCCCGTCAAAACCCGAGCGCCAAGAAGTGATGGTTAGTTCAGTTTTTCCTTTTGCCTCTTTTAGAAAAGTTTAAGGGTACACACTGAGAGGGGAGGTGGGGGAAGTGGGACTTGGGGTTGAATAGTCCAATTTAAAGGATGCACATCTGGGCCAGGAAGAAACAAGACAATGTGTTCCACGTATAGCTGCCAACACTACGTGTGACACACGGAAAGATCCGTGCTGAGCCGTCGGGACTCACGCGTCACCACTTCTTAAAACACAAACGAAATACACTGCCCGAGTCGATTCCAGTGCACGGAGGTCTCCACGGTGCTTCGGAGGCTGCTCATCCCAACGGGAGGAGACTGCCCGCCTCCTTCCTGCAGAGCGGCCAGTGGACCCAACCACCAACACCGTGGTTCACACACAAAAGGCTCCCTGCTACCACAGAGCTCCTTAAAAGGTTACAAAACTCTCTCGTTGCAAGAACTGTTTTTCTCTGAAAAATGGTGATGAATCATGATGCATTTTAAAAAATGGATTTAAAGCGAGGTCACACAGGCATGTGAAGTCACTATTACAAAGAACCAGTTCCATCAGAAACGTGACATGCAGGCCCGGTCCCCACTCGGGCAGATGCAGTCAGGGTCAGAAACAGAAGAGATCATGGTTAATATCTAGAATTTAATAGCATTCACAGGTATGACAAATCAAGGTGACAGATCAACCCTTTGAAAATGAATGTTGTCCCCAAGAGGCAAAACTGACTTCCCTTCTAAGTGGTGATGTTGTTGTTGTTGTTGTTGTTGTTGTTATGTGCTATCGAGTCAGAATCAACTCATGGCTGCTCCAGTGGGTTTTCACAGGTACTAACGTTGCACGGACTAAGGCGCGCTGATTCACAGCATGGTCTTGTCAATCACTTGCTATGTTGCTGAGAGCTGGGCAATTTGAAACAGGATGACGGAAGACTTACTGACGCCTTTGAACTGTGTGTTAGAGAAGAGTGCTGAAGACCTCACGGACTGACGAGAGAACACACAGATCGTGGAGATACTGCATGTCCTGGAGAAGGTGCAGCTCAACTGTTCGTGGGAGGCAAGGATGGTGAAGCTTCGTCTCACTTTCTCTGGGCATGTTGCTAGAAATGATACTCTTTGGAGAAGGACATCATGCTGGGAAAGGTGGCAGGTAAGTGAAGGACAAGAAGACCCGCTATCAGATGGGCTGACACAGTGTCTGCAGCAATGGGCTTGAGCGAGTCAGAGATTGTGAGGACGGCACAGGGCAGAGGAGGGCTCAGGTCTGTTGTTCATAGAGTCACTGTGAGGCACACTCACACTGCACGGGAGTTAACTGAGAGGTATCTTTCTCTAGCAGTGCAGCTGCTGGATTCAAACCACGTACCTTTGGGTTGGGAGCACAACTCCTTACCACTAAGCCACCCTAAACTCCCTTCTTTCTTAAATACTGAGGCATTGTTTTAGCACTGGACAGTGGGAATGAGAAACAAGATTCAGGGCAGAGCAGTCTCTCTGTCTCAGGCCCCTCTAAAGCCAATGCCACCAATTCGGACTCAGCATCTCCTACCTAGCATTAGAGCTTGTGCTCCACCACAGGCCCCCGGCTGTAATCTCAAGGAACCAGACTGCCTGTCTGAACCGGCAGCCTTTAGGTTTGCAGTGAAGTGTCAACTGTGGGCACTGCCCAGGGATCTAAGTCTCCTGCCCACAGGACCGCAGTCTGGTGGTCCAGCAGCTGGTCCCACGGGCAGCCTCTCAGGCTCTTACCTTTTTGCTGTTGTTTAGTGAAAAATTGGCTGCGGAAGTCTGGATCACTTTTGGCCCTGAAGTGAAACAAAGAGAAGGAAAAGGTCCATTGAGCTTGCTGTCTGACTGATTTTTAAACGCATCCGGTGGAGTTGGTCTTGTTTTCCTGGTCTGACTTCAGACATAAACACACACTGAGACCCAGGAGTCCCCTCTCCTGGGCATCATGGTACCAAGCAGGTATCACGCCGTCTGGTTGCTCGCAGGCCCAGGTGTGGGGATCCCATTCATTTCCTTCAATGGGGTTTTCTCATAGTACATGAGCCAGAGACGACAACAAACCGTGGACGTGGCCAACACAGCTTGTACGTCACACAGTCCGCTAAAAACGAGGGCACACTTAGCCTTTCAGCCAACTAAACGAGTCTTCCAAATATAATTCAGCAAAGGATACACACACACTGGGATTCAAAGTCCTTCCAGAAATAGGTCCGCAGGCATCAGGACAGCCCTGCTCAAATCCTGCAGAGCTAGGACTCTGAGTGCAGACTAGGGAAACCCTGCAAGTCTGGGCCGAGCACTGGGCTTGTCTACGAACATATCATCCCAGGAGGGTGCTGGCTTTCAGGCAGCCCATCACCTCCATGGAGACAGCAGCCTGGGTCTGTGGGCCCTGACTGCACTGACCCAGCGCCAAGGGACAGAGGCTGGAATCATAGCAAGTCCACACTGCCCACGTCTGCAGCAGGGCGAGTGGACTCCGGTCTCAGCTATCAGCTGTCAGGTTCTCAAAATGAGAGATTTGCTCAAGGTCTGGAAGGTACTTCACCCTCAGAAATCCTAGCCACCTCCACCTGGAGTCGAGGCCGGGAGGGTCCTCTGTGGGAGAGAGGAGGCCAAGCCCACTGTGCTGGGTGCAGAGCAGCAGTGCCAGCTGGGTTAGGGTCTTCAAAGCTTTAAACCTCCTCAGGAGCAGACGGCCACATCTTAACTCCACAGAGAGACTGGTGGGCTCCAACTACTAACGGTTTGGGAAGCAGGAAAGGGACAGGAGAATTCTGAGGCAGCTGGAGAGTGGGAAAAGCTGGCAATTCTCAGATGTCAGAACCGAGGAATGGACTCAAAGCTTCCCTGAGACGGGACACTCTGAGGGCTCACAGCCGCCCCACCAACCCTGAAGAAGAGTGGAAATCAGTTATGACGTGACTAAACCACGTGCGGCAGTGACGAGCATCACTGTCATCCCTCGGGGACTGGAGGGAAGGGAGAGCTGGCTCGGCTTCTACCATCATCACCACCACCAGCCCTGCAGCCTCGCTCCCAGCCTCCCCAGTCCAGCCACCAAACCAAGCTCCCGTTCTGGTGAAGAAATTCTCAAGACACAAATGCCTGTGGGACAGGTGAAGTCTAACTGCCACTCCACTGCAGTGTCAAGTCCATGAAATGAGCACCTCCAGGAGCCCGCCCACACTGAACAAGCTCAGCTCCGTGAGAGGCCCAGCAGACCTTGGCTGGCTCCGGCCCCGGGCCTGGGGGGCCTGCCCTCTGCACCAGCACAGCAGCCAGGCTGCCGGGAGCGAGGAGGACCTTGTGAGACGCACCCCACCTTGCAGGCCCACCCACGGGAAATCCTGAGAAAACAGCAAGCACCTCGCTGGTCTGGGATGCCCACTGGGAGGCAGGAGTCGGAGGAGATGATTTCAAAGCCTCTCGAAGCACGGCTTCATCTGGCCTCCTGCCACAGAGCAGTATCAAGAGGGCTGTGGGCACAGGGCAGAGCGGGTCTGCAGGGGCCCCATAACCACCATAAGCTGTTAACCATCACTGGTGTGATACATCTCACAGACCCAGCCAGCATCGTTCAGGAAACGTCTGAACAGAGGTTAAGGTCGTTCTTGCTGCCAGGCTAAGCCCAGACCCCCACTGTGTATGGGCAGGAAGTGCAGACTCTGGCCTTGGGCCTGCTTCCTACTCCCCAGAGAAGGACAGGGCCATGTGGGGACCCTCCCGTGGGCTCCAAGGGCACGGCACTCCCCCTCCAGCAGTGGTGCCCTCCCAGGAGGGAACAGGGCTACACAAGGCAGCTGAGTGGGCAATGATCATTATCAAAACCTACCTTTGATCCCAACGAAGACGGTGAGGCCGAAGCAGATGAAGAAAACGACGAAGACGAGGACGAAGTGGCGTTTGGAGAGCGTGTACAGCCGCATGGGGGCCAGCCTGGGGAGAAGCCAGGTGTGAGTGTGCCGGGAGCTGGTGACTGTCACTCACCAGGGGTGACAGACCACACGTGGACATGAGGATGGTAGGGAGCTGGGCGCATCATAACACCCGACAGGTAACCAGGTAACACCAGCCTCCCCCCGCCCAGGTTTCCCTGACCCTGTGAGACCCTCACTGGCCTCCCCGGTCATGGGGAGCTGCGGAGGCTGGTTCAGATGCAACTACGCAGGCCCTCCGTATGAGTCTGTGACCTAGCCCTGCGTGGAGACCGAGTCGGGGACCAGCCTAGCACACATCCTGCCCGTGTCAGGCCCCTCCTCTGAGCCGCCTTCCTTTGGAGGCAGAAGAAATGGCAGCAGGCAGTGCCGCTTCCCTGAGAAGTCCATCAGGGTCAGCAAGCACGAGAAACCTGCGGAAGGGACAGACGATGCCCGCTGGTGGCCTGTGGGCCACACAGTCTCTGCTGTGGACGCTGCACTCTGCGGTGACAAGCAGCTCTTGTTAGAGGTCAGCACGTGCGTTCCTACTCACAGACCCAGGCCCCAAAGAACTCAGCCCGGCGATCCTGTGCCTCCTGACGGTCTCGCGTGTGCTTAAGCACATGTTACAGAGACTGTCAACCCATCTTGTTGACCGTCTTTTCCTTTTTCACTGACCCTCAATGTTACCAAGCATCAAGTCTTTCTCCAGGGACGGACCCCTCCTGGTGACATGCCCAAAGTACTCGAGGCGAAGTCTTCCCCACCCTTGGAGCACTCTGGTGGCCTTTTATTTCTTTTGGCAGCCTATGATATAGATAATATCCTTCTCATTGACATCATAATTCAAACTCACCAATCCTTTAAGCGTCCCGGTTCACTGTCTTTCATATAAATATGGAGCAATTGAAAATACTTGGGTCAGATGCACCTTAGTCCTCAAGGGGATATCTCTGCTCTTTGGTATTTTAAAGCGGTCCTTGGAAGCAGATGTGCTCACTGCACTTAGTTCGGTTTCCTGACTGCTGTTTTCATGAGCACTGAGAGTGGAGTAAAGTGAAATGAAACCTTGCTGGCTTCATTCAGTCTTTCCTGTGTATCATGGTGTTGCTAGCCAGTCCTGCTGTGAACAGCAGACACCCCTAAATGATCTGGTGTGTCTGTATGCCTGTTAAATTGTAGCAAGTGGTGGGGCCCTGGATCCTAACCACAGGCTGGAGAGTAAACTGGCTTTCTGTTTTACTTTGTTTCTTGGGATCCTTTTATTCCTGCCTTTCAAGCAGGACTGACTGACAGGAGGACATGCTATTTCTCAGAATCACGGACAGAGGGCAACGCACACGCCCGGGGGGTGCGGGGAGACAGGCTCGGAGGCGGACACTGGGACGGGTGTTTACCTTTGCGGCGGGCGGCACCCAGGTCCTGTGCACACACCCTCACCCTGCCGTCAGGAGCCCAGCTGCGCTCCGTCTGGGCAGAAGCGGGGCCGTGGCATCTGACGTGGCCCTGTGATCCTGAGTCCACTCACTCCCTCAGGCCAAGGCTGACTGCTGAGCGCAGGAAATGACTCACGGGCTCAGGTGGGAGCCGCTCTGCCTCCGAGTGACGGGGCTGCCTAGGGTCCATTCTAACATTCTTCCCCTGCTGTGTGCAAGGGACCTAAGCCCGCTCCCAGCACAGGTCGTGGGCGCTGGGCACCAACTAGGAAAAAAATTAACACGGTAAACATTTGCTCAAGCAGTGAGCTCCTCTAAGAACTATCACTATGGGATCAAAGTTACAACAGCAACTCTAAGACTCAAGGAACCTTAGGGCGATGGGTTCACGTTCCCAAAGGAGTAAGGACCCAGAAGGGGGGGATGAGAAAGACCACGGACGTGGACGTGCACAGTCACAGTTGAGTATGTTCTGATGTATGTATTCTCGACAATTAAATAAGTGAAATTTTAAAATCATATGACCAATTCACTATCGGTTTTCCTGGGCTGACAGTCAAGCCACACTCAACTGAAGGAGAAAGAGACCGAGCATGCGTGGTGCTTGAGAAGATGCAGCCAGCGGGGGGATGCCTGCCTGCACGGGGCTGGACCGACTCCCATCCGTCCTCCCTGCCATAGTCCCTCTGTCTGGAGACGCTCTCAGCCCCTCAGTGCCAGGGAACAGCACCAGGGCAGCTTCCTTCCACTCCCAACTCAATCACATCACCAAAAGATGAGACCCCCGCACCCTCAGACAGGGCCCAGGGCCCTGCTCCAGACAGACCACAGGTCTGGACAACAAAGTGCTGAGACATCAACAGGAAGAGGAGGGAGAAACAGGGAGTCCGTCGGGGGTGGGGGGGGGTGGTGATGAGCAGGCTCTTCACATCCTGATTCCTACAACCTGTGTTCCTGCTGAAATGCGGCTGTGTTGCTAACACACTACCCTGTACCTGAGGTCCAGGTGCCTTTCACCCTCTACTGTTACACTTCCACTGGGCACTGCAGCTGTGAGCTGAAAGGCTGGAGGTTCAAGTCCCAGACATGCCTCAGAAAGACCCGGAGAACTTGCTCTAAAAACCAGCCTCTGAATACTAATTCTGAGCATGATTCCGTGTGTGCACTGCTGACGGCTCGACGGGGTTTCCAAAGTGCTAACTTTGATCATCAGGTCTGACTTCTGAACTGTCGCGGGGCAGGCCTAAACCACTAACCTTTTGGACCTTTAACATGCACCCCATAGACAACTCCATCAAGTTTCTGTAGGTGTCATCAAGTCAATTCCAACTAAGACAGACCCTACAAGACAGAGATCTGTCCCCACAAGGAGCAGAATACCAGGTCTTGTCTCCCACACTGCTCTTCATGGGTTTGAAGACAAACTCTTCTGTAAGGCTTTCAAAGCTGTCCAATTTCTTCCTATGATTCTTATTCAACCCTCAGATGACCCTGCACAGAGCTGACATGAGCTCAACCCAATTCCCTCGGCAAGCTCCTCGGATCCCACAAAGAACCCACCTCGTGACCTCAGTAGCCTTCACCTGACCCCACTGACCCCACCTCATGCCCTCAGTAACCTTCCCCTGATTCCACACAGAGTGCACTCCATGCCCTCAGCAATCCTCACCTGACCCTGCAGCCCACCTCATGCCCCCTGGAAACTTCCCCTGAACCTGACTCCACATAGAGCCCACCTTGTGCCCTCCGTAACCTTGCCCCAACCTCACACAAAACCCACTTCATGCCCTTGGTAACCCTCCCCTAGCCCCACACAGATCATGCCTCATGCCCTCAGTCACCCTCCTCTAGCCACAAAGAACCCACCTCATGCCCTCTGGAACCTTCCTCTAACCCCACACAGAGCCCACCTCATGCCCTCAGTAACCCTCCCCTACGCCCACCCAGAGCCTACCAGATCTTCAACCTCATTCAAGCATCACTCTGACCTTCGTGGCAGGTACAATGGGCAGGTAGCTGCTAGCAGAAAAGTCGGAGGTTCAAGTTCATGCAGACACATCTCAGAAAGGCCTAGAGACCTTCCACTAAAAATTCAGCATTTAACAGATGAGAAAAGTTTGCCCTATGTCACAACGCACTTGAGTGTGGGGGGTGCATTCAAACCCAAGCATCAGATGCCATGGGCGGAGAACGCCCATCTTTCTCCCTTGGAACAGCTGACAGCCAGCCCCTTCAATAGATCCTCCAACAGTGTCCCACAAAGACTTAACACTCCTCTCGAACCTTAGAATGTGACCTTATTTAGAAGGAAGGTTTCTGCAGATTAACGCGTTAAGGATCTTGAGACGATGTCATACTGCATTTAAGGTGAGCCCTAAACCCAGTGACCACGACCCTTGCGAGGAGAGAGGACACATACAGACACAGAGGCACAGCCTGGAACAGCCGAACGGCTGTGGACGTGTGGCCTTGAGGACTGTGGCGGGCCATGAGTCTGTTGTTTAAGTGCCCATTTTGCCAGGCTGCACGAAGACATCAACGCTTCCAAGTTAGTGATCAGAAAATATCTGCCGAACGATCTCAGCTTCCCCAGTCATTTCAAGGATGCCTGCCCAGACTCCTCAAGCTTGTGGTGGGATCCTGGGTGCAGGCTGGACGCGTCCACCACGCCACTGAAAAAGCCACTGTCTGGGCACCATGTGGGCAGACAAACCGCAAGGCCTACTGGCTCCCCAGGCCGTTGCTGTGGACCGTCAAGTCGGAACCGACTCACGGTTGACCCTCCAACTGGTTTTCAGAGGCTGTAAATCACATGAGAGGAGCCTGCCTGTCTTTCTCCCACAGAGCAGCTGGTGGGTTCAAACCCTGTTCCAGTGGGTTGGCAGCACAACTCCTTACCTCTAAGCCACCTGAGCTCCCCAGGTAGCCCCTCTTTTCTGAGAGGCCATACATCAGTCCTCCCACTGCTCCACACCTTAGGGCAACACACACACACACACACACACACACACACACACACACGGACACATACACGGACACACACGTCCGGAGGCCTAGCCGAAGCTCCAGTTTCTCTGGAGGTGTCTCACCTGTAATGGGGCACTGTCCCCTCGAGTCCCCTTCAATGCTCCAGGTCCCTTCTAAAGTAGTCTCAAGGTGACATGGGCTTTAAGCTATTACAGACACACTTAAGAAAATATAAACCACGGGAAAAGATTTTCAATCACATTACAAAAGTATTAGATATATGCACACCCATGTTTACTGCAGTTTCGTTCACAATAGCAAAGAGCTGGAAACAACCCAAGTGCCCATCAACGAATGAATGGACAGAGAAGCTGTGGTATAATCACACAATGGACTACTACGCTGCACTAAAAAACAAGGAACTCATCCAGTATTATTCAAAATGGGTGACCCTGGAGGACATTATGCTGAGTGAAATATCTCCGTCACAAAAGGACAAATACTGCATAGTGCCACTGTTGTAAAACGGGACTGACATCAGGGTTAATGGAAGACAGAAGGAAGGGAGGAATGATGTATACTGCATTGAAAGAGATGCGGGAGAGAACTGTTCACA